AAAAAGAGAGAGAGAAATGCATCATTAGTGCTTTTGTCATCAATTAGAGCATCACAGGGTGATGCTCACTCTAACCCGATGGTGTAGCCCCTGGCATACCTAGGCCATCTAGTCTGGCCTATGTCCCCCTATACAGCATGCGACTGTACCGACCACTGCAGGCAGTTATAACACAAATCATCGAGCAAGAGGAATTTTCCAGCTCCACTGTGATCTTACGAGACCAGCGTTGTATGTTGACTGATGGTCTGATGTTGACTGAAGCATTATGTGGTATGTGACTGTATACATACATACACACAGAGAGAGAATTATACAGGTGGTCCTCAGGTTATGAACCAGATAGGTTCTGTAGGTTTGGATTTGTATGTAAGTTGGAACAGGTATGTTTATGTATTACTATAATGGCCTTCATTCATAAGTGAGAGTTGTGCATAAGTCGGATGTCCATACCTCGGGGCTTTCTGTATATATGTATATATGAAGGAGAGGGTAGGGAGCAAATCTAACAAAAACGCTGATGATTGTGAAGGCCGGGTGGCAGCTGCACAGATGGGGGTGCCTTGCGCTGGTCTCTCACCTTTTCTGTAGGGATGAGCATTTGTGTAATAAAAAGCTGAGGAAATGGCTGCTCCCATAGCTTAGTCAGTAGGGCGCCGGCCACATACACTGAGGCTGGCGGGTTTGAACCTGGCCCAGGCCAGCTAAAACAACAATGACAACTGCAACAAAAAAAGAGCTGGGCATTGTGGTGGGCGCCTGTAGTCCCAGCTACTTGGGAGGCTAAGGCAAGAGAATCACTTAAGCTCAAGAGCTTGAGGTTGCTATGAGCTGTGACACCACCACATTCTACTGAGGGCAACACAGTGAGACTACCTCAAAAATAAAAAAGCTGAGGAAATGTAAAGAAAGCCTTCCAAGGCCTGCCTGGCCCACAGGTCCCAGTCAGACTCCCTCACACTCAGGTCCCCTCTCTTCGGCCTTTGAGCCTATGCCCAGGTGAAGGAGCTCTACTGTCTCAGAGGCTACCTAGCCACTTAATAGTCTACCTGTCTGACTTCTGTGTCCTGTGATGATTGCAGGTGACCTGTGGCTGAAGACCCCTGCTAATTGCCAGCAGCGGCAGTCACTTTGCCGAGGGCCCTGTGTGAGGTCTGGGGAGCCCTAGGTTGTAAAGGCCAGTTCCTGTCTCCAGAGAGCTTTCAGCTGGAGGAAGGGAGGGACGCTGGGTGTGCATGGGAGTGAATTTGATGTAAATGCATTAAGCACATTACACTGGTTATCAACTGGGAGTGCCTGCTGGGTGCTGGGGAGCATTTGGAGGCGTGGACTTAAAAGCCAAGTAGGGAGTGATTTCTGGTAGTGCCAATTCCTAGGGTAGAACTGAAGGATGAAAGCTGGCTGTGTTTTGGCTCAGTGGTTAGGGCACTGGCTGCATACACCAGACCGGTGGGTTCGAACCCGGCCCAGATCTGCTAAACAACAATGACAACTACAACAACAACAAAAATAGCCGGGCTTTGAGATGGGTACCTGTAGTCCCAGCTACTTGGAAGGCTGAGGCAAGAAAATCGCTAAAGCCCAAGAGTTTGAGGTGGCTGGGAGCTGTGACGCCGTAGCACTCTACTGAGGGCCATATGGTGAGAGTCAGAAAGAAAGTTGGCTGTGTATGGAAGGTAGCCAGGACCCCCACAGATGGCAAAGGCAGAGGTGCAAAGCAGTGCATGCATCATGAGAAGCCACCTGGTGCCTCCGGCCAGGGCTCACCCATCCACCCAGGCCTCACCTGCGCTGGGTTTGCCTGCCTTCTCCAGCCTCTGCCTTGGCTTTGGCCTCCAGGACCCTTGGGGCTGAGTCAACCACTGGTGAAAGAGAGTAATTTTTAAAACTTGGAAAATCTAAAACATTCTGTTAGCATGTCTGAGTAAAGAGTTAGTCACAAAAAACCTGTGGGGTAATTATGCAGTGTTGATACAATACAGTATTTCACATTTTTGGAGTTCACTGTAATAAACGGTTGGCATAGCTCAACTATTTTGGGGGAAAAAAATTATGTGTGTGGGCTTGCCATCAGAAGAGCATAAATGCATTATACAAACCAGAAAATGTTCATAGTTGTTTGGAAATTTTAAAACAAAGGACCCCACAAAGGAGGGAGTTGGTGCTCAGCCCAAGTGAATGCTGGGACCAGACCCATGGGTGACTTTAATGAGGCCCAAGCCGGGGCAGCTGAGGGTGGAAACAGGGCTGAGGCCAGAAGTCATAGTAGATGATGAGCAGGTGGGAGGGATCACCAGAGCCTAGTCACACGGCAAGATGGTGTTGCTGTCTGCAGGACACACCTTTGGCTTGGCCTGGGATGGGTGTTGTCATGGTGATGAGAACTGGTGAACCAAAAGAGGACTGTGAACTGTTGCCATGGGAAAGGGCTCTTGATCACTTATACAACCAGCTAGGTCATGATGTGTCATGTGATGTTTGAAACCAGGCTGGAGGCATTGACGTCCATTCCTACAAAGAGCAATAGCCCCCAGGTCTGGAAACCCCACTGGTTTTCTCTACACTAACCCAAGGCTTGAATTGAGACAGGGCTCCTGGGACCTATAAGAAGGAAAATTATCTAACAATGGTCAGTAACAAGGGCTGAATGTTTGTGTACCCACCCAAATTCATACATTGAAACCTAAACCTGGGGATCCAGAGGAAACAGGGGGTCTTTTGGAGGTGTTTAGGACACAAATGGGATTAGCACCCTTATAATCAAAGAGGGCTTCCTCACTGTTTCTACTATGTGAGGACACAGCAAGAAGATGCTATCTATGAACCAGAAATCAGGTCCTCACCAGATGCCAAACCTTCCAGTATCTTGATCTTAGACTTCTCAGCCTTCACAATTATGAGAAAAAAATATTCCACGTGATTTATAAGCCACTTAGCCTATTTTGTTATAGCAGCCTAAATAAACTAAGGCATTTAGCCTCCTACTGGCCCCAGAGAAGACTGGGTCCCAGGAGGGTAGGTGTGCATGGCTGACTTGTCCATGAGCAGCAGGAAGGACACTGATCTGTACAAAGTGCCAGAGCAACACTGAGAAAGAAGGGAGTCACTCAAGGGTTAGGGAAGAGGCTGGAAGGACTGTCTGGGAAGATTCTGCAAAGGAGGAGATATTTAAAGTAGCAGTAAGAGTTTTCTCCTTAGGGAGGAGGTGATCCCAGGCAGGAAAACAGCACATGCAAAGGCTCAGAGGTGTGAGGGAACACTGGGCGCCCCAAGAATAGCAAGGATAATTAGCTCAGAAGGAGCCAAACTGTCTGGAACAAACAAGTAGCCCCCCCTCTAGAGTAAGGTGACCAGACGTCCCACTTTTGGCAGGACAGTCCCGATTTTTAACAATTTGTCCTGCCTCCTGTGGCATTTTAAAAAAGCCCCAATTTTTGGAAAGAATGCATGACAAGTTAGGGAACACGGGAGAACAGGAAGAGAGTATATGGTTTTCGGCTGCCATGTGGCTATTTCACCAGGATATGCATTTTATATTATTTTTGTTAATTTTATAATGTTAAACTTTAATAATAACAAATAATTGTTGAGAACTGATTATCGAGAACTGCTTATCAAAGTT